ATTGCCCTATCAATATTTTGAGAATAAGATCATTTTTCCAGATACAAGTCCTAATAGTTAACCGCTATCTGGACGAAGGATATGTATTCATGTTTTTCTTATGTGTATTTACGCCTGAGTGTAATCGGCGATCGGAGCAAGGTCGAAAGCGTCTTGGGTTCGCTACTACTGAGCGTCGAAAGGTGGCATCTTTTGGCCACGTCACACGCCATGGCAGCATTTGAAAGACCATCATGCAAGGCACAATTGAAGATGAGCACAGGCGAGGAATTGCAAAGCAACAGCTGGTCAGACATCAAAGTGTAGACGAACCTGACAAAACTAGAACACCTGAAAGTGAACACCAAGAAATCATCCTGGAGAAGGTTGGCTGTTTTTTCTTCCCTCAGGTACAGACGACTGAATTAGACGAGCTACTGATGAATATAACGAACCCGATTAGAATTCGAAGTCGGTTCTCCGAGTTCCCATTCCAAGCTGCTATACTCATGCTTTCGGCCTTGTTCCACATTTAAGCTCTGCTTAGTAAATTATTAGGAAATAAGATAAAGTTTAAATATGGTTAGTAAACATGAGTGAATATTTTGGTGAGGAAAATAAATATATAAACACATATCAGAAAATACAAGAATATGTTACCGATTTTTATAGATGATTTTGTTTATAAATACGTCTTTCTAAAATGCCTTTGTGCTTCACTAATATAATTTTAACATATATGTACGGATGTATATATATATATATATATATATATATATATATATATATATATATGCGTGTGTGTGTACAAAAATATGATAACATACATGTATGTATGTATATATATATATGTATGCGTGTGTGTGTGTACAAAAATATGATAAAATTATATTCATTTTTAAGCTAGTACACGCACACACACACACACACACACACACACACATATATATATATATATATATATATATATATATATATAATTATTTATTTAAAAATATGATTCCAAATCGCTACATAAGAGGTCTCATGTTTCAAAACTAGAGCCGAAAACTTCAATATAATCCTTTAAATTAAATTGAGTTAAAAGTAAAATGTGCTCCGTTCCATCCTCAAGCGAAATTTTTTGTTGGAATAACGTATATCTGAAATTTACTTGTTTTAAAATTGAAATCAAAATCCCCATGGTAACAGCTATGGTGAATTTTCTAAATTGGGTAGGCGAGTGTAGGGTGTTTATATTGAGTAGCGGTATAGAGATACTTTCAAGGTGTCAAGTCGGGGAAAGGTGGGGGTGTCAAAAATGAAGATGTATTGGCCATCGTCTAGTTTGCTTGTCTATGGAGATTTATTTATTTATTTTATTTTATTTTATTTTATTATGAAAGGAATTGTGCATATAAAAAAAAAAAAAAAAAAAAGGAAAATTTTCGTAACGTTTAGTTTTTGACGACTTCATAAAGGGTTATCTTATATGTAAGGTATTTAAACTACTAATTTAGGCTATGGATTATGAAGTGTGTTATGTAGTATGCATGTTTGTAGTTAATTATTCCTACTATGAATCTGATGATTGGGCTATTTGTTAAACAAGTTATATAATTTTTTTTTTTTTTTAATAATTCAAACCAAAAATCTGATGATGCCTACAAAAAACCGTTAACTCGTGTCTATTATTTAATAGATTATTATTATTTAGAAGTTTAATGATGTGCAATTTTTCATGGAGGCACAAAGGGCATGGGTCATCACAAGCTTTACATATTCTAGCCTTGTCAATGATTTTCCATTTAACTTTTGGTGTCTTATTTGTTTCCTTCAGGTGCCAAAAATATTTTGATAGTGAAGTCTGATTTCGTTTGTTTATATTATTCAAGGAGCACTTATGCTGCCTCCATCTATCTTTAAAATTATTTAAGAAGAAAATTTTCTATATATTTTCACATATATATATATATATATATATATATATATATATATATATATATATATATATATATAAATGTACTAGCTTAAGTTAGTTCCCGCATAAGACTCTTGATTGTACCTTCATCCCAATAGGTAGGGCGAAGTAGATGCGATAGTAAACTATAAACTACAGAAGAACTCAAAATTGATCGCTGCACTTCCGTATTGCATTAAAATTTATGTTTAACTTTTAAACAATAATTCTTCTGCCACCACTTAATTTAAATACAGTTCGTTTGATGAAAGTAGGTCCTTACTTTCCGTATAAAAAAATATTTTTTATTTCTTGGGTGACTTCCCTAGGATTTCGCAATTAATTTCGATTATACCCAAATTTATTTCCAAGTTATAAAAACTGTTATTGTACAAAAAATTCGTCGCAAAAAAATCATGTAAAAAATCGCCGAAGACAATCGCAGAAATCAAACTTGGGAACCGAAAATTTTAGGATTGCTCTGGTCCCGATCCGACCAGGAATATTTTTAATTTGCTTTCAGAGTCGTCCTGATTCCAAAATGGTATGCTATCTTGTGCTATGGCCTCTCGGAGTAAATTCGAAAAAGTGTGACATTCGTGTGTGTATATATATATATATATATATATATAATATATGCAGTCATCCACATACAGTGCGGGCTAGACATGCGAACGCTTCAAGCCGGGATCGAAACCCGACCGATTTCGCATCAGTCGGTTTTTCTACCTTTCTGCTATCAAGCAAACCCAGAAGAAAAAGGGCATTATTTTTACGAATGTAAGCAAACACCAGACAGCCATTGTGATCAATTTATTTGAAATGAAGAGTGTTGCGTTAGCGGAGACGGCTGCTGTTTAGACACTCTCTCTCTCTCTCTCTCTCTCTCTCTCAACAGTGCTCAAACGAAATTATCGAAAGCATTATATATATATATTATCTGATTAAAAAGTATAAACTACAACGCATATAAATTCTCGAAGTACTGACTTTCTAAAGCATACCTGGGACACCTTTGGGGGATATCGACCATTTGCCTAATCACATTCACTTGGACTTGAAAAAGGGGGATTTGATTTTTTATGAGGAAAAAAGTCGCAAGGGACGAGTCGCAAGAATGCAGTCTTTTGATCAAAAACCCCAACGATTTAAGGCCTCGGCCCCGGTGTCTACAATATACAAATACACACTTTTGAATAAATAAATGTATGAATTTATATTTTCTCCCCTTAATAGCAGTGTAGATTAAGCTGTTTAGAACTACTCTGAATTCAATACCATGGTGTAAATAATACTTACTGCGCAAACCATACTAATATCACCGCCTGTTGTGAGTTTGTGCCCGTCTCCACCACCGGGAGTCTGCACGGTTTGCGCAATATTGTAAGCATTGGGTTTCGCCTTGGGACGAATCATTATCATATCATTTCATTGGACACTTTAATTCGTTTTTGTATATTAAATTTGGTGAAGATTATAATTCTTAGAAGCACCAATGACCGATACAACTTTGCCCAGGCGCTCAAGTACTCTACTTTGTATATTTCTCCTTTCTTTTTATGTGCCATGGCCTTTCAGGACGTAGGCGATCATGGCTCTCCACCTCCTTCTATCCCTTGCAGCTCTCAACAAGTACCTTCTCTCTGCTACCTCCCCCAGACCACGTTCTGTCATCCACTTGCTTAAGCCCGCTAGCTATGTGATGCATTGTTTTGTCTTGTCTCTCTTTTCCTCTATTCGACCCGTGAGTATCCAATTCTCCAGGCCCTCCTTCCTCACTCTTGATGTTAATTATAATCCTTCTCATTGTCTACATTATCGCTAAGACATCATCGTTGCACACTCGCTCAGTCCATAATATCCTTAGAACCACATCTCCGTCGCCTCGAGTCACTGTTTTTTTTTTTAAAAAAAAAAAAATTTTATTTTATCCATTATTCTGACATTCCTCTACTAAAATCGATTAGAAAAAAAAAGAATCTTCTTATCGTTTGAATTGCTGCCACATATGATCCGGTGATCCTGATATATATTTTAAGATTCTTGATATAATCCAAACCGGAATCCGAAATGTTATCTGTCCTTCCTGGCTATCTCATCTCCGGTCACTTGCCGGAATGTAGCTTTACTATAAATATTTTAATGGTAATTGTCCTGATGTTGTTTGGTTTGTTCTTTTTTGATTTTTCTTTTTTTTTTTTTTTTTTTTTACGTGATATCAACTCTTTAATCGATTATTTAATGCCGACAAGATTTTTATTGCTGGTAATATTTTTTTTTCTTCAAAATTGTATATGCTGGTAATAATTTTTCTTCAAATATTTAGTGCTCGTAACAATTTTTACAAACAGGTTTTCCTGATATTAAAACATATTTTTACACGTTTTGACCCCACTTTGGAAGTTAATAATAGTTATGTCCCCATTCATATAAATACAGTAGTAAATGCTGTATGTTGGTCTCCAGTTGGAGATTCGTCTCCGGCTGTTCTGATCGCACTCTCTGCCTCCAGGCAGATAGAATCCCCAGACGAGGCTATGTTGAAGGGCAAAGTTTCGTCTCGGGGAAAAAGCTACCTGACACCGTTTTATACAGGGTCTAAAGGGAATTTTTGTCGAGCATATGGGCTCGGATACCCCAATTAAATTCGGTCTGGTTCTACATTTAACCGCCTGGGGAAGTTGGTAGATATCCTGCAGTTGGTGATTCATTCTGGAAATTAGCAATTGACTACTACTTCTACGTGCCGCTGGTGAATCTTATATGTGTTGTTCTTGTCCTAAGTATTATCGTTGATGACCAATCTTCATTTGATTATTCTATTCAGTAACCTTCCCTAGGTTAGAACATTTATCAATTCTTTGCATGTTATCTAAAGCCAGAAAATAATTGTAAGATTTTTTGGAGATAATTGTTTATTAATATATCTACTTAACTCATAGTGGGGGAAGAGGGGAAAATTCATATCTTTTCCCAATTCTTTTTGCGCACAAGTGAATACAATTAACTCAACAGACTTGGAACTTGGCTCTCCGGTTAATAATTCCGAGCCATTATCCACTGCACCACCCGCATATCCAAGCTTACAGCACCTGGTCTTTGCAAGCGGTCACCAATTTTGGTACTGAGCAGGCACGACGTTGCTTAACTTCGGTGATCGTACTGGAACCGGTATGTTGACATGATGTGACTGTAAGCCCATCCATCTTTATGACATTTCGAACATTTCTCGAAATCATTCTAAAGAGGAATAGACAATTTTCGCGGAAGATTTTTGTTGATGCCTGATTCAGGAGGAAAGTCGCATAAACTCTTAGACGAGGTTGCAAAGGAAATCGAGAAGAAAGGACTAATCATAAAACATGAAATGACTTAATAGTTGGTCTTAAGCAAAGGAGGCAGCAAACGAAGTGAGCTTCGATTTTAAGACATCAGAATTTAGTAAGTACAATATGTTAACGTATCTGAATAGAGCAGTGGCACACAGTCGAAAGCGTGGAATAGGAATCTAAAGGAACATCGGAAGAGGGAATGAAGCTTTTCTATAAACTAAGAAAATTATTAAGAGATAAGCGTATTTCTTTAGAAAGAAAGAAAAGAAGGCCGAAACATTTTATCGTGCATATTATCCTGTGTGGCAATGAATGCTGGATGATTTCCGAGCAGATGCCGATGAAACACGAAGCGCTAGTGATGTGGCTTTACAGCCCGATCCGGAGAATCTATTTCTTAGCTGACGTGAATAATACAATGGGTAGCACAACGGAGAAGTTCTAAAGAAAGTGGAAATTAAAAGGACACTTATACTTAAATTCCGGAAGACAGAGTTGAAATATCGGGACACATTATAAAGAAAGGAGCCTTGGAAAGTTTAACGATTACAGGACATGTTGGATGAAAGTGGGCGGACGGAAACAGAGTTTAACTTCATTAATTAGCGTGTGTGAATAGCTAGAAGAAATATTACAAAGAGAGAGGGTAAAGAGTCAAAGGTTGCTTTGAGCAACAAAGGACAGGAAGTTGTGGAGAGACATGATTTCTTACGTCCTGTGGATAAAAGACGATACTTCTCCATTACGTTTGGCGAAATCATTTGTAGCACTGTCCACAGGAAATTTATTTACAAATATTAAAGCTCTGCCAATTGATATGGCAAGGAGATCTCGTTTGTCGCTCTGCCTCTTTAATATGCTTCCTTAGCATTTGCTAATGTTATTTAAATTATATGCTCTGTTATGGTGGACAATGTGTGGCAGGTATTGTTGAGTAATATTGTGCTTTTAGCAGTATGTTTTTTCAGTGGTTCAAACGTTTCCCCTGATATCGATCACTTTCTCTGTAAGACTTTAAACATTCCTGGTGCTTTTTGACAAAATGGTGATTTTACGGCATTTTCATCTTTTGCGAAGGGACATTTTCCCCCTAGGAGAGTTTGATTGGTATGGTGTGTATGTATCAAATACACCTGTAACATCTTGAAATTGCTAAAGAAGAATAAACTTCTGATTTTCACAAATAAATTTTGCCGACCACTTGATGATTACGTGAGAACACATGAAACTTTTAGTTGTGGTCTACTATTGTTCATCGGGAATTTATTTAGAAATATTAAGAAACTATTATGGTATCTTACCCATAATAATAATAATGGACTATTCCATACTTAAAAAATACTGCGCCTCAGGAGTAGGAATGAAGTGTGTCAGTAGTTCAAGTCGAGTCAAGAGTCGAGTCAGAGGCAGTCCGAAACAGAGTCGCGTTCAGACAATTACTGCAAGACATTGGAATAGTGATACTGGTCGAGACTACATTGTTCTCTCTACTAAACCTGGTTGTTAGTACTAACACTTCTACTTCTCTGTATATATTCCTGTTTGTAATATATCTGTGTTATTCCATACCTGTGTTCGAGTACTATTTATATACCAGAGAAAAGTGTTATTGGTTTTTAATTATTTTTTATAATGTTTGACGGCTTCGCTTGTCACTTTTTCTATGTCAAGCGAAAGTTCGTTATCACTTCCAAAAATGCTCGTTATATTCGAGACTTCGTAAACGCCGGCACTAGTAGTAACGCCTTCCAATAATATTTGTACTAGTAATACTTGCTCAAGTAGTAATCGCCAAATAGTGTGATGATCAGAAGAGAATCGTAATCCGTAATACTTGTTCAAGTAGTAATTGCCAAATAGTATGATAATCAGAAGAGAATCGTAATCCGTAATACTTGTTCAAGTAGTAATTGCCAAATAGTATGATGATCAGAAGAGAATCGTAATCCGTAATACTTGTTCAAGTAGTAATTGCCAAATAGTATGATGATCTGAAGAGAATCGTAATCCGTAATACTTGTTCAAGTAGTAATTGTCAAATAGTATAATGATCTGAAGAGAATCGTAATCCGTAATACTTGTTCAAGTAGTAATTGTCAAATAGTATAATGATCTGAAGAGAATCGTAATCCGTAATACTTGTTCAAGTAGTAATTGTCAAATAGTATGATGATCAGAAGAGAATCGTAATCCGTAATACTTGTTCAAGTAGTAATTGCCAAATAGTATGATGATCAGAAGAGAATCGTAATCCGTAATACTTGTTCAAGTAGTAATTGCCAAATAGTATGATGATCAGAAGAGAACCGTAATCCATAATACTTGTTCAAGTAGTAATTGCCAAATAGTATGATGATCAGAAGAGAACCGTAATCCGTAATACTTGTTCAAGTAGTAATTGCCAAATAGTATAATGATCTGGAGAGATTTGTAATCCGTAATACTTGTTCAAGTAGTAATTGCCAAATAGTATGATGATCAGAAGAGAACCGTAATCCATAATACTTGTTCAAGTAGTAATTGCCAAATAGTATAATGATCTGGAGAGATTTGTAATCCGTAATACTTGTTCAAGTAGTAATTGCCAAATAGTATGATGATCAGAAGAGAATCGTAATCCGTAATACTTGTTCAAGTAGTAATTGCCAAATAGTATGATGATCAGAAGAGAACCTTAATCCATAATACTTGTTCAAGTAGTAATTGCCAAATAGTATGATGATCAGAAGAGAACCGTAATCCGTAATACTTGTTCAAGTAGTAATTGCCAAATAGTATAATGATCTGGAGAGATTTGTAATCCGTAATACTTGTTCAAGTAGTAATTGCCAAATAGTATAATGATCAGAAGAGAATCGTAATCTGTATAATATTAGAGAATAAACGTATAGCAATAGTGGATAGACAGAAAGAGTGAACAGTGATAGTATAGCCATATCGTTACTTCCTATTTATTCACTTCCTTATCATCACGTGATCTACTTGATAATGTAATCGCAGGTGTTACTGGTGATCTAGTTTCAGACCAGTGTCTTTTATATAACAATTATGAAAGCATATCAGCATTCATCACGGTAGCTGAAACGTCGAGCTGATATAATTCAATGCCTAATAATTTTTTTAAGAGAAATTTTGTGCAAATTAGTTCTCGCATGACATGATGCCCTTTATAGAAAATAAACAAAACCCTTCTGAAATGCTAAATAACTAAGCTATTTAGTTGAAATAGGCACCAGGTACCTCTAAATTCTTGATCCTATCTATAAAGAAATTCTCATCCTTTGATGTGATAAACAATTCAAATTCTTCGATTACGGCTTCCTTATTTGAGAATGTTTTTTTTTGCGTATGAAAAGCTTGAAATGTTTAAAGAAGTGATAACCAGTAGGAGAGATATCAAGTAAAAATGGAAGATTTGGCAAAATTCCAAAAATCAGGCTATGCAACTTTTGGACAGTTGATAGAGACGCCTGCGACGGTGCGATGTCGTGCAGCAAAACTGGGCCATCCCTCTTCACAAGTCTAGGGTGGTTCTCTTTCAACCTTTCGTGCATACATTCACATTCTCCACAATACGATGTCGCTGTTATTGTTTTCCTTTAAGACAAGAATGACTCATGAATAACCCCTTTGAAAGATCACCATACAATAACCATTAAATTTTTAGGCCTCGGTGGAGGTTTTGAGTATAGTTTTAGTGATCCACTCTCATCTAACCACTGGCTTAATCTCTTACTGTTGTCAAAGTGTCATCTCTCATCGCATGTAATGATGTGTTGCAATTTTTTTTCCCAGTTTGTACTCCTACAATAAAATTATACGACACTGTTTCATTGTAATCATTTTCGCTGGGTTTATGAATAACAATATATAGAAAGATGTTGATGTGAGTGTAATTTAACTCTGCACTTTTGAATAAAGGCCACAAAGATGGAACTAGTGCTATGGTGAAGATCAATATGCTAAATGCTCCGCTACAGATTGTAACATTATTTATCGGATGAGTGCACAATATTTCCAACAGAACTAAGTATTTGCTCATTCATGTGTGGGTAGAATCCGACGCGGAAGTTTTTTCCGCATATGACTTACGTTGAAACATTGGTTCTCGTAAGATCAACAAGAAGCGTCGACCCTGGTCAGTACCTAGATAGGTGACATTATTGTGTGTGTTTTAGACGTTTAGATCGAAATCTACTTAGGTTAGGTGAAAAGAACTCTTGGATAATCTGGAGGAAGTTTGTTTATATATATATATATAATTATTTATTTAAAAATATGATTCCAAATCGCTATATAAGAGGTCTCATGTTTCAAAACAAGAGCCGAAAACTTCAATATAATCCTTTAAATTAAATTGAGTTGAAATTAAAAAGGGCTCCGTTCCATCTTCAAGCGAAATTTTTGTTGGAATATATATATATAGGATGGACTCTCCCGTCGATTTCGACGTATGAGGTTCCGACAAGCTTTTAATGACCCTCATGTTTGAATCTAGAGTGACATTTCAGACCTGCTAATGACTTGCAAAACCACAGATTGGGCAAGCGTGTGAGCAAAGAGGGTGCACTTCTCTGGCATCTTCTGAGGCTTGTTTCCCTTTCTCTTGCTTCACGGAGCTTGACAACGCTTGCCGCCGAAAAATTCCTGATTCAGTGTAAGTTACACTTTTCCAAGCTTTGCGATCCAAGGCAGTATTCTCCAAATCAGTGTGTGCAATATTTGCAGCTGCAAGGTTACTTTTCAGCTTATCTTTAAACTTGAGCAAGGGTCGGCCAACATTCCGTTGACTGGCTGTACATGAGAATCTTTGGAATTCTACCACCTTGCATCCGGACAACATGACCGGCCCATCGTA